GATGATACTTCAGCAGACCGTTACAGTACTTTTCAACCTCCGAATAACGGCATATAACATAGCTTTTGAATTGGAGGGGGCAAATTGGAGGGCATAAGCGCAACTTATAAGTCCAGACTAGGGAGGTGGTAAAAGAGCACAAGTAATAGGAGATTGATAAGGAGTTGTGTGGCGACCCATGCGTGCCACAAGTGTGACGGATTGTGCAATGAGGCTCGGTACCATGAAGGTTTCCGACAACATTTGTGGTGACATATCGAACATCACTTGCACCATATCTTCCACTTAGAAAGGACCAGCCCCGTTTGCGAAAGTTCGTTTGCGCAAGTTTGCACGAGCGAAGGATACTGGAGATGATGGATAATATGAGCAAGTAAGAAGCTTTCGACAGCACGAGGGTTGTCGATCGCTCTTGGGTATTTGGCTCGCATTTACGAGACCATGATATGGATCCGAGCCGCAAAGCATGCTTGGTAGCGTCTCCGGGTATCTTCTAGAAGCCCGAAAGGCTCAGAGATAAGTCGAAGGTGACATGAGGAATGGGAATTGCGGCAAGGTGGCCGAGGCACGGTCGAAGCATAATCGAAGGCCGCGTTGGAAAAATCCTTCGGTCGAGAATAAGACGATATAGAGCCGTCATAAAGTGAAGGGCATCAGATTCGGGGCCGAGTTCATCGGAGACAGCGATACTGGAACAAGTTAGCCGCAGTCACCTAGGTGAAGGGTCTTGGTCAAGGTGAGATCGGAGGTCCGGTTCATCGGGCTTTGGCAACCGTCGCCATCGCAGTCATCATCCTCCGGCCTCTTGGCGGGACTGAGCCACAGCACCGAGTACAAAGGGCTGAGAAGAATGATGCTCATTCGCGTTGAAAATGACGACGCAAGCCACGCCCCACCTTGTCAAGCCCTATGTTAACGTTGCACGGTAGTAGCTTCAGGGATGAGACAAGATATGTATAAGGTACTGTACCTGGTCTTTAATATGGACAGGGCAGAAGTCTCTATGCTGGTTATGAAGGTGTAAGCAGTGCAGCATCAAGGAGTCGATAAGCTTTTGGTACCATGCCGTACATCGTCAACATTGCCGCCGCTGGAGATCGTAGAACAACCGGAGAGATGCACAGCAGCCGTCATGACTGCAGCGCAGAATCTTGTCCCTCGTTCTAGCTCCGGGTGAAGGGAGGCCAACCAGTACCGTCAAGGTGAGACATCAAGGTATGGCCATTAGGGTTGTCTGTCAAGGTACCCGACCCGTCGCCAAGTGGTGAATCTTGGGGCCACAGTGGGGGTCGCTACTGCAGAGACGCATCGCGAGATCCCTGACCTGGAGTTAGCAGGGGGGCCGAAAGGAGGAAGGTGGAGATAGACGACACAAGAGCCGCACCGGTATTTGGAATGCAAGCTGGCCAATGGGAGCAAGGTGTGAAATCGAGGGTCGTGAAGGTCTCAGATTGCGGTGGTGAAGCATGTAAAAGGGCTGATTGTCGAGGCTGATGTGATTCGAGAACCGTGATGGAAGCCACGGCGAACATTGCCTCCCGCGTGGGGGTTGCCTTGTCCGACCTGGTCCCTGGAGTTTGCTATGGCCATGGCTGGTTCGGTACCGTTGTCATCGTCATGCAGTCTAGCGAGTCTAGGACAGCTCATTGTCATCGTCGATATCTCTAGCCAGACGTCCCAGAGATGCTAAACTCCGAAGGTTGGTCCGTCGGATTCTTGTAGTACTCGGTACTTTATTGATAGTAGTAAAAACCCGAGCAATCACCCGTCGGAATGCCCTGAGGCTCGGATCGTGGCGTTTCATGACATCGCTTTCTCTAGCGGCGCGGAGGCGCAGTCGAATTGTCCAGTCAACTGTAAGCTAGCAGGCTGCCGTGTCTCGGATTAACATTAACGACAACGGGACCTAAGAATACCATCCTGTTGACGACTTGAAGATGTCGTCAGCAGACGAAGAGACAGAGATAGACACGGGATTGCCGTTTGCTGTCACAGTTGAGAACTTGAACCGTGATGTCTGGTTGGTGTTGACTTGAGACTTGAATGCGCACCAGTTTGTCGAGCAGTCGACCTATCGAACGGCTGGAGACAGATGCTTACCGTGATAGACCGTCGCCATGAGAGAGCAGAGAGGCATCAACGAGAATCAGCGTGTCCAGGCAGCGGGCATCTGGACAAAGGACAGCTGAAGGAGTGGAGGAGAATCTGGTATTTGTCAATGGATTCAGCAAGATGAATGGTCAAGAAACAAATAAGCTTTTCTGGGGTTGCAAATTATGACAGAATTGGACATAGTGTCGATTGTCTGCTCCTGGAGGCTAAAGAAAGTGATATCGAAAGAAACAACGAAAGCTCGAAAGCGGCGGGTGAAACCGTGAGACCTTCAGCCATCCCGCTGGTGTTAAGCTTAAAATCGGGCTAGCCTATAGGGCAGTCAACCGCTGTAAAAGGTGGTGCCTGAAAGTAAGCACGGGTGGATCCATGCGAACCATTGCTGACAGACACAAGGACTGCGCACAGGCCGCTGCCGGTCTGATGGAAGCCGTCAAGAGCTTATCGTTATCAATGGCACTTCAGCCATTTTACTTGGCGGCCCGTCAACTTGTTGTCTGGCCCTACCACTGGGACTTCGTTCGCTTGTCACTGTCTTTGGATTTGGAATTCCAAATTTGATCTGATCTCCAAACAACAACAAACACCATTTGCTTGCACTCAGCCGACATCACCATCAGATCCTTTGGGCCGGCGGGAATCTCCAAGTGGACTGTCATCAACCATGGATCATTGTTTCAGACAGCAAACATGTTGATTTCTCCTGTTCAGCTGTTCTTTTGTCGACGCCTCGAAATGGTGTTTGCAGTGGACAATGGCCGCCAATTCTGAATGCCTTCATTCCCAAGACTGCGGGGTCTTTCAACGCCCAAACATCACCACGACGACATGAGCCACCACCACGCAACTTATTTCTGGCAGCCGTGACGGGACTTTTCTTCTCGTACCGACAGCAGCCTCTGGAGGTATGATGGCTGAAGCATTCCAATATTTTTTGCGATTCCAAACACAGCTCCTTCTATGTCGAACTTGGGCACGCAAGCGTCGTCTCAACTCTCAACAGGATTGGTCAATTCACGTTACATCCCAACTGGATCTCGGTCATCCATGCAGACAACCTTCAAGCCTCTTCCCTGTTCAAGCCTCTGCTGTTCCTCGATTGCGTTCCCGATCTGCAATGTAACCACCAGTCTTTGAGCCCTTCTAGCCTTCACACCTTTTGTTTTTTTTTGTTCTTGGTATCTTTCAACCTTTCTTTGCAGTCATCAAGTATTGATAGCAGCGCAGCAATCAGGTTCCTTACTTTATGCTGCTTTCTGGTACCTGACCTCCCCGTATTGGTAACACAAGCATAGAGGTACCCGACCTGCCATCTCTGCACATCCACTGCGCATGTCTGTGTCTGTGTTTACCCCATCAAGACAAGTCCCCCATCCCATTATCCCGTGTCTCGACGGGTGGTGTCCAATGGAATCTGATGTCCAAGTGGTACATTGTCATACCAAACCTTGTCCTTGATGGTCATGTCTTGAGCCTCCCAATCCTTCGGGCTCACCTGCTTTTCTGCTATGGCTTCCACGGTACAGGCCATCATCTCACACAAAATCTCACACGAAAGCCATTGTATCTTTGTTACGTCGCTCTGGTGGCCTCGCTGATTTGGTTCGGAAAACAATGTTCGGCTGTGGCGTTGGGATGGTTACCATGGAACGTTCTCTCGGTATCTCTTTGCCCGTCACTCTTTGTCCGGAGCTCAAAACACATGTTGGTGACACCAAGAGAGATCTCTGATATCATGAAAGAGCCAGTAGCTCTATGAAGCATCTTCATGGTGCTCAGTTTCCAGCCAAGAAAAGTCTGGTAATGGTCAAAACAATCCAACGATATCTCTTCCATTCGGCCGGGCAGTGGGCACCATCTTGTATCAAGCTTGACCGACGTGATAGCAAGATCAAGAACGGCAAGGCAAGGTCAGCATGGTTGATCTTGGCCGACATGGGCTTCAACTGCGCGGGATATGGAACCCTCTCACCCTCGCCCTCCCGAGATCCCCATAGCACAAGATCCATGCCTCGGTGGTAGCGCCTAGGATGGGTAGGAGGGTAGTAAGCTCGACAACGGCACCTCTCTTTCTGACATTCCCTTTTCAGCCTCCTTCTAGATTTTCTCCGGTACGTACCGAAAGTTACCATATCCATTCTTAGTTGGGTCCAAAACTTTGTGTTCTGTTTGGCCACCAACAGGTTACCATCAAACGGAGCCATTCCTCATCCGGTCTGTCGATCAAGCCCCCATCCCATGTTGGCCCCCCATGTCAACATTCACGCAAAGATCGATAAGCGATTTTGACATGCCTCGTTCTTGCATCTCAAGGATCCTTCACATGTCGAAGAACATCCTGCCCCGAAAGGTACCTAGTCTATTCGGGGAATTGACAGATCAAAAGTTCCTCTTGGCATCATCGAGCTGATTCTTACGCAGTACACTTGAGAATGATGGACCCCGTCTGCATCAGGACCGGGATCCAACACAAGCGCCGCGCCGTATCCAACATCAGATATCCCCGTTGTGGACTTCTTTTTTGGTACGCGCCTTGAACCTTGGGCTAGACGGAGATGTCATGGCCCTCGACTATTGGGGTTGGCCAGAGTAAGCATGAGTCGACTTGTCCTACCTTTATTCCATGTTTCCGAAGGCTATGCATCATTGTATCTCATTGTAGATATCATGAAAGGTTACAATGATGGCCATCAAGGTATAAAGGTATTCCACTTCTCGTCCCGTCCCTGCTCTATTTTCATCATCAGCATCAGCATCCGGTGTTTGAAGATCAACAGTCCAGTTCCACCTTCTCGACAACTCATCACTCTGGCTCTTGTTTCCTGATTCCAAATCACCTCACCTTCATAGTTTCACACCGCACGCAACGCTTCCACACTAACATCACAATGGCTTCCCCATACAGCCAGGAGCTCAAACCCGCTGAGCCTTCACCTGCCCATCCTGTCCAGTCCGAGGTCGCGGAACAGGTAGACGACTGCGAGTCCGAGGATGAAAGCGATGATTCCATCCGCGAGACTAGCCGCGATCTCGAATCAGGGGGTACCACAGCCGCCAACACCCCTTACGCAACTGCATCCCACGCCTCCAGCTCGAGCGGCTTCTCTGATCCCAAGAAACATAACGAAAAGACCATTGTCCGAGTCCGCCAGCTCGTCCCTGACATTGATCCTCTCGAGTACCACTGTCTAGATTCTTCTCCATTGCCTCCGAAGAAGGGCAACCGCCTCTACCGCTACCTCCGATGGAACTTTGGGTCAGTCTACCGACGCATTTTCTGCCTGGCCTTCATGGGTAACGCCGCGGCTGTGCTGTGGTTCATCATCCGCTCTGGTATCGAAAACCGCCCTATTCTCACCTACCAACAAGCTGCCACTGCCGTCACTGCCAACATCTTGATGGCCATTGTTGTCCGCAACGAGCATATTGTCAACGCTTTCTTCTGGATCTTTGGTACCTGGGCCAAGGTTCTCCCCCTCTGGGCCCGGACACTCTCGGCTAAGATCTACTCCTATGGTGGTCTCCACTCGGGTGGTGCCGTGGCTGCCACCTTCTGGTATGCCATCTACCTCGTTCTTCTCACCATGGACTACCGCTCCCAGGAAGGCCCCCTTGATGCTATCAGGGGCTACATCTACCTCTTCAGCTACGCCATCATCGCCATGCTCGTGGTAATGCTCATCTTCGCTTACCCTCGCGTTCGAGTCCTGATGCACAACTCCTTCGAGAACACGCACCGCTTTATGGGATGGACTGTCGTTGGTCTCTTCTGGGCCCAGATCATGTTGCAGACCGCTGATGCCTCCAACAACTCGCCCCACTCCTTCGGCCACGTTCTCGTCCGTAACGCCGCCTGGTGGATGCTGCTGATCACCACCCTCCTTATCGCCTACCCCTGGTCACGCATGCGTCTCCGCAACGTTGAGGCTGAAGTTCTCTCCTCCCACTGCGTAAAGCTTAACTTTGACTACCGTGAAGTGTACTTCGGCCAGGCCATCCGCCTCACCGATGCTCCCCTCAAGGAAACCCATGCCTTCGGCGTCATTCCCCATCCTCTCGCCATCACCGCCGCCGAGACTGATGAGAAGAGCCCCATCACCGGCGAACCCGTCCAGCGCCTCTCCCACTGCGGCGACAAGGGCTTCTCCGTTATCGTTTCCCACGCCGGAGACTGGACCCGCAAGATCATCGACAAGCCGCCCAAGCAGATTTACACCCGCGGCACTCCCCAGTTCGGTGTCATGCGCTGCGCCGGCCTCTTCTCCCCCGTCATCGTCATCGGTACCGGCTCCGGCATTGCCCCCTGCCTCTCCCTCTTCACTCAACACCCTGATCATGCCGTCCGCATCATCTGGTCCACCCCTAACCCGCTGCAGACCTATGGTCGCGCTTTGCTGGATCTCGTCTACAAGACGGACCCGGCTGCTATCGTTATCGACACCCGAAAGACGGGCCGTCCTGATCTGGTCAAGATTGCCTACCGCGTCTGGGAGCAGAGCAGGAATGGAGTGTTTCCGGATGAGGTCAAGCCGCAGGCTAGGAGGCCCTGCGAGGCGGCAGTGATTATTTCTAACCAGAAAGTTACCGAGAAGGTGGTTTATGGACTGGAGAGCAGAGGGATGCCTACTTATGGTGCTTTGTTCGATTCTTAATCGAGCTGTTTGCCGCGAGCTGACAACTGTACCAGGCTTGAGAATGGGTTCTGGTTGCACTTTTAATGGTTAGATCGGGCGTTGGTGTTTTGGGCGCTCTTTCTTGTGTCGGCTGGTACCTTGGCCACGCCAGCTAATGTTCTTGCACATATATCTTTTGGATTCTTTTCTTTTCTTTCCTTTGGGAAATGTTTGCGTTTTGGCTTACTCATGAAGATCACGCTCGCTATGATGGATACGGAATGGAATTTGGTGGACCAGGGTCTGTCAAACAAAAAGAACGGAATGAAATAAAAGAAGATGGGGGTATATATACGAGAAATTTATCTGGAGGATGCACTATATATGATAGATTTGCTCGGTAGGGTTCAAAATATGATTGATACAGTTACTTTCTGGTTCCGTTTGTGGTGAACCATCATCATTATTCAGTAATAGCTTCATGTCGGGCCCTTCGTTGGACATACTGAAGTGGTTGGATGCTGGAGCCGGAGGTTGGAAAGCGTAACCGGCAATTACTTCCCCGCATTCCGCGTATCTTTCATCGCGGACGGCCCGAGCTCAACCCAAGGACCGACGGGAGTGCCTACGAGATCGATCCGTGACAGCTGGAGAGATAAGGATGTTAGCATTGAAGGAAGGAAGGAGCCAAAGAAGCGCCGGGGGGAAACTCTGTCTCGGGGCCGCGGGTGCACCCCGCCATCAAGTGATAACCCGGAGAAGGCGCGATAAGTCGAGGAGGAAGAGCCTGATACTAGGAACCTGACATAAGTGGAGGGTGCAAATTGCAAAGGACAAAAGCATCGTCATCCGAAAGTCCGACACTCGACTTGAGCGTAGGAAGTAAGGGTTGACGATAAGCGGAGGTTGACGGGTGAACAGACAAAATCCCGACACGCACGCGATATTCTTCAACCTCTCCGCTCTTTTTGCTGATTTTCCAAGTCCAACACCACTCGAGCAGCTCTCTACATCTGCCCTTAATCTTAGCCTCGCCATTCGAACAAATTCTTGTCTTTGTTGGTGCATCACCGGCGACATTTTCTGTTGAACTTCTGACCGCGACAACCATCACGGCCGATACGACATACCGTGGCAGTACTCGCGCAGCTGTCCACTTAATGTCTGATATTGTTCTGGCTTTCCAAGAGTGATGACCGGGGACAACTTCCGCCGGAGACTTCAAAATGACTTCATCTCCAACAAAATGTGTGGGGCTTGGACATTCCTCCAACATCCACAGTCACATAGCTCGTGTTGCGAGACCACGGGCATCGCACGGTCGTTCCTTCGCTTCATGCGCACATCCCCGCCCAGCAACATCACAAAAAGCAGAGCTCGGAGGAACTTGCAATTCGTGATAGCGGAGAAGCTAACCGGACTGTTAGTGGACAGACGAACCGAATTGCGTTAAATGTTCTCGAGCCATATGACGAACAGGCCAAGCTGACGAGATGATGTCTCAATGATTACAAGTACTCACATCCCAACACATGTCCGAACGGCAGATCGCTACTAAAAGGCTTCCAAGTTCCCATCGACTCCTTCTCCTCTCTCTCTCTTGCTTCCTCCATCGCAATCTCTCGCAATGCGAATGTCCCCAACCAGCATTTTTTTCAGAATCACCAAGCCAACCGCTTCTGTCACTCGCTCTCACCACCTACCACGCTCAATCGCCCGCCAGCAAACGCGGCCAATCTCATCCAGCATGTCTCTCTTCTACCCTCGCTCTCTCTCCCACCCTTCTTCCCTGGGGTCCCAGCCGACCTTCTCCTCTCTCTTCCGCATGCTCGACGACTTCGACAAGTACGCCCAACAAGTCAGCGGCAACATCGGCTCTTCTCTCATTCCCTCCTCCTCAAGCGGCGGAATAGAGACCTTCAACCCCAAGTTCGACGTCACCGAGGAGGAAAACACCTACACCTTGCAAGGCGAGCTGCCGGGTGTCGACCCCAAGAACGTGGACATTGAGTTCACCGATCCCCAGACCTTGGTCATCTCAGGCCACTCGGAGCGGTCGCACACCGAGGGAGACCCCAACCTGCGCATTGGAAGCTCAACGGAGAGCAAGAAGATCGAGGGCGCGGAGTCCAAGGATAAGTCCAGCAAGGACAAGAGCAAGTCCAAGGATAGCAAGGATGAGAGCTCCGAGAACAAGAGCACTCCCAGGTACTGGCTGAGCGAGCGCAGCTATGGAGAGTTCTCAAGGGTGTTCAACTTCCCGCAGAATATCGACCAGGACAAGGTCAGCGCCAAGTTCGATCATGGCGTTTTGGATATCAAGGTGCCCAAGTCGGAGAAGAAGGGCAGCCGCAAGATTTCCATCCACAGCTGAATGGCTGGGTCGCCCAATGATTGTGGATAAATCTCGGATTCGGGTCCTTTTGAAGATGTAATGGGCCATGTAATGCCAGGTTGGATAATTCTCGACTGTGTCAATCTGTATCCATTTTTTAGTGATAATGATATGCCCACGATCACCTCCCCGGTGTGCTTTGTTGTAGTTGTGTATAGTGTCGGGTGATATCGGACGGAAGAGACGACTGTCGTCAAAGGAGGCTGAGGTTGTTGCACTTGTAAGCAGGAAACCCAAAAAGAACCGAATGGGTCGCCTTACAAGGCAACCAAGCGACCTTTATCTTTTACGGTTCGCCCGGGCAACAACAAAATTCATTCCATTGACTGCACCCATTGCCAACTCTAGGATTACCCGCATCAAGCTCCATCATCTCTGCGACTCCACCATCTTTCGACAAATCATCGTGAAAGCCTTGATGCAATGGCGCACACCACTTTGCAAACACCTACTTCCTTGATTCGTCAATGCACAAAGCTCTGAATGGCGAGGTACACTGCAGTCATAGACTGACAGTTTCCGGCAGGCTGGTTCTCGGATGCGTGGACGGGCACGTTTTGCGAATTTGCGAATTTGCGAATTTGCGGGCTATTAATCGACCGGGACCGGGCGATGTGCAACCCATGGGATGGGTGGGAATGAGCCATGCCGGGCAATCGCCAAGGGAGCAACAGAGGGAGCTGCCAACAACGCCTTGTTGGGCTAGGGACAGGTTTGCTTACCAGGCCTGGCCCGATCCGGAACGGGGACGTAAACAAGGGATGATGTGCAGTTTTGCAGGTTCTTGGGCTTGGGCTTGGGTTTGGGTACTTATATCCTGGTCTGGTCTGGTTGCCTGGAACTTGGGCATTATGAGGTTTGAGGTCCAAGGCATCAATCATCAATCAAGTCTTTTACTCCTTACCATACCTTGTCTCTAGCAACCTCGGGCTTGCCATCGCCCATCATGGCCCACCTCCGCAACGCCTCGTACTATCAAGACAGCCATGATGAGTACGCATCCAGCTCTAGCTCGCATCGTCAACCATATCATGTTCACCACCTTCATGTTGCCCGAACGGAGCGCCGTGGCCGTCCAGCTTACACGACTGTTCGGCCGTTCGTCATCAACAGCATCGATGACCATCCGAGACCTATAAGGAGTGAGAGGGACGACCATGATGAGCATCACCGGCGCGTAGGCGGCTACGTAGCTGACCGGCTTGTTCCTACCATGCTGAGAAGTTCTGACCGCCCGGTTGGGGTAATCATGAACTTTGGTGATGCCAGGCTTGCCCTGCCGGACACGGACACCAGACTGGATGATGGCTATAAGCGCAACCAGTCATTGACCAGGGTGCCCAATGCGATCATTTACAACGCTCCCGGTTGTAGTCTGACTCTTGATGGACGAAGATGCGAGAGCTATTGTGACCGCTGCGACATGGTTGAGAGAGACCATCGGGATCAGGATTGGGAGAGGCATCATCGCCGTCACCATGACCATCGCGATGAACGGGAACTGGATCTTGAGCTGGACAGAAGACATCACGACCGTCCCCGTCGTTCTCGGTCCCATATCTGTGTTGTATCTCACTCCCGCAACCCATCGCCTTCTCCCCTTCCGTTATCCAACAGGGACCGACATCATCACATCGACAGGGTGCTGGACCATGGGCACAATAGTACCTCTAGGCATCGCGACCGTCATCCTCGGCCTCGCTCCCGCTCGCACGTCCGCATTACCTCACACTCACGCGATCCGTCTCCATCTCCATCACCTCTCCCTCTGCCAGGACTCTTCCCTATCGCTACTGTCGTCGAGAAAGCCACCCACTCCAACCGCAGCCGCAGCCAGCACCGTGGAGTGTCACGAGTTTGTCCAGGTTGTCTTATTAAGAACACCCTCTATCGAGATGGTTATTGCGTCGACTGCATCCCGCAGAGTTACACCTCCAGCTCAGGACGCCCAGACGTCTTTCCACTGTCCAGTGGCACAAGGGTCAAGTACCTCCGTGACACAGACGGCGGAAATACGAGCGAGGACAGTTGGGCGCGGGTCGATGTTGCTTCAGGTCCTACTGGTAACCATGGGAACAGAAGAAGGGGCAGGGCCCGGTCCGGCGAAAGGGTTGTGTACGATGTCGTGACTGATAGCCGAGGATATAACCAGTCGCGTCGTAGAGGTGGGAGTAGATGGGAGAAGGAGAGGGGTGGGAGTAGATGGGAGAAGGAAAGGAGTGGGAGGTCGATGCCGAGGTATGAGGGGTATGGCAGTGAGTCGGATGTGTGAGTTTGGTGGTTGTTCTGTTGGTAGAGTCAATATTTCCGGAGTGTAATAAGTGAGCTTCTTCGTGTACGAGCTTAAATGAAAAGGGCGCTGCAAAAAGGTATACCGTTTGTGAGAATTGTCATGTTGTTTCGCGATGAACCCTTTGACCTGAATGGAATCAGATGATTGCCTCGGCGTTCGTCATTTGTGGGGCTGCCAAACGATGTGCAAGGGAATGTACACTAAAGAGACCATGCAGCCGGCGTAGCAACGATCCCGAGCGTCAGCGAAAAGCTGCTGAAACGCACTGTTCCAGGTAGCGGCACGGTCCGTTTAGTAATATGTGCAGGCCAGCACTTCCGGCGCTTTGTTTGTTGACTGCGGACAAGTCGTACCGCGCCTGAAAATGACGTAAGTGATTCCTGACGTAACGAATCCCCCACGGCCCCCTCCTTGACAAGGACAACCATAGTCAAGACTCAAACATAAACACCACAACATCCTCGTCTACCTACTACTTAATCATCGACGACATCTAGATTGATTATCGAACCTAGAATCCACAACCCTAGAATCAGTATTCAACAAACATCGTCACCATGTCAAACCGCGAAGAACCACCGCCCTCGTACGAGCAAGCTATTGCAAGCTCCGGCCCTCGCGACACCCGTCCAGGCACAAGCGGCGGCACATCATCACGACCGGGCACCAGCGGCGGAGCCAACATCCACACCGACAACCTCCTTCACGTCCCCGGCGACGACCACCACGGGCACGAGGGAATCCCGACCCCAACTCGCCTTAGCATGGAAGACGAGCTCCGTCCTCTCCCCGAAGGCTGGGTACGCACCTACGACCCGGAAACCAACCACCAATTCTTCGTCGACACCAAAGCCGACCCCTTCCGCTCCATCTGGCACCACCCCTACGACGACGACCAGTTTCTCAACTCGCTACCTCCCGCCGAGCGCGACCGCATCGAGCAGTTGAAGCGGCAGCAACACCACGACCCTGTCCACAGCCATTCCCGGCCTGGCTCGTCTTCTCGAGCTTCAGCTTCAGGCTCAAGAGCTCACAGCCCACAACCACCCCGTTCACCAGCCCGTGATCCAACCCTCCAAGAGGTAGCCGCCCATCTCCAACGCACCGGCGGCCGGACCCGACCACAGGTCCACGGCCATGACCACCACGCGAGCGACGACGAACAGAAAACCTTCGGCCGCAAGCTCAAAGACAAACTCACCGGCACCACACACAACGAGCGCGTAGAGGCACGAGCAGCCCGCGAAAAAGCCGAGCGCGAAGCTCTCCAGCAACATCTCCTCTTGCGCAGAGCGATGCAAAAAGCCATGGAAACTAGTCGGCCCCAGCTTCTCGGAAAAGACGATAACGGCGTGGATCTGTACCTCGAGCCGCCTGGACACATGTTCCCTGGGGTGGCGGGCGTTAAGCCGCTTACACCCTGGTTGAGCGAGGTGTATTATGAGAGGGATAGGACGAATGGGGGTGTGAGGCAGCCGGGACCGCCTGGACGGTATTTGAGGCCCGAGGGGAGTATGTATGGTTTCGGGTATGGGGGGTATGATTGTGGGCCTATGGGAGGGGGACGGTATGCTAGGCCTGTGGGGCCGTATCAGAGGCCGATGAGGCCGGTTGGGTATGGAGGGGGATTGGGACTGCCGTTGATGGCGCCCATGTTGGGGGTGTCATGTTGGGGAGTTTGATGTTTTAGGGATTGGAGGGGAGTTTGGTGGGTGATAAAGCGTGTCAATGGTTGTGATGATGAGTGGTGTTGGGGATGATGGCATTGTTAGGGTGATGGGCACAGGGACGGGGGAAGTGGTTCGCTGGTACTTGATCGTGGTGGTTGAGGAGGTGAGGATGCGAGTCAAATGGCTTTAATGATGGGATAATGGAATATGGATATATAAAAGGTTCGAATATTGATACCAGAGCAAATTGCAAGTTTTCCTTCCCCCTAACGCGGACGAGTGGACAATCTTTGGTCCCCTTCTGTCGCTGCTGTTGTAGGTGGTGTTTTAGTGCATGCATGTTAGATGGACTGCGAAGCTATTGCCTTATCGGTAGCCCACACAAACTTGGTGTCCAACTGTTAAAGTCGCATCTAAGTCTGTGCCTCACTGCAGCTTCACCCCGCTCACCTTCGCCTCTTCGAAATTCCAAACCCCTCACCGTCTTCAGTCACTGGTAGTACCGGGCATACGAAAACAATAACGATAGAGCTACTAACACGAAACCGCAGAGAATAAGAAATCAGAATTTGAGCGATGCAACTTCAACTACGCTTTGACCATGCTCTCGCCACCCCCAGGAAAAAGAAGAAACGAAACGCGCTCTTGGCTCTGCAGTTAGGCGCGCTTGGAACGAATCCTGCCAAAGAAGTTCCAGTATCAAACCACGCAGTTACCTAAAAGCTTTCAAGAACGACACCTCTCGGCGCTTTCAGAACCATTTTTGTCACTGTACGAATGCTAGCGAGTAACCTTTTTCACAGGACCTGGCGATGGGCCCTGGCCGGACCGGGCCGGTGAGGAGCCGGCAAGCGATGTCAGCCACCTGCAGGAGTAGCATGCTCTGGGCGTGGAGAGGGGCCCAATGGAGTGCGAGTGCTAAGGAGAAGGATTCGAACGCCAACACGATAAGCTCCTAGGATCCTGGAGCGGATGTTACACAAACAACGTTTCAGTTCCTAGGCTAGACTTGGCGGTCCCTGAACCTTCGTGCGGAGAACAGCGCGGAGGAGAGAGAGAAATGTGGTTAGTTTTGTGGATGGGATGCCACCACATCAGATCAGGTACTGTACAGACCGTACGGGGATGGGGAGGACGAGGCCAGGAAAGGGAAGATTTTCCGCAAAGAGCTGCAAGAAGAGGAGAAGGAGGCGAGGAGGGACATGGGCAAGTCTCCGGGCAGATGCAACCTGGACGTTGACACTGTCCGGCTTCTTGAAAGACATAAAGAGGTGACATCCGGTCTCCCTTGATCCGGTGGTTTATGCTCAAGAGCTCGTCAACCAGGTCAAGACCTGCATCTCGCCTCAGACCGAACGGTCTCGACAGGGTACACCATGGCCAAGCTCTCCAAGACAGTTCTCCTCTGGAGGCTGCTCCTCGTTCCCCTCGCGGCCGCCTACCCGCAGCTCCAAGCCGAGCTCAGGCACCGCACGATCAAGCCCGAGGATACCAAGGGCGCGTACGACTACATCATTGTCGGAGGTGGACAGTCTGGTTTGGTCGTTGCCAACAGACTTTCGGAGGATCCGAAGGGTGGGTCTTCCCAACATGGAGAGCATGGCAATGATGCATCGGCTAATGATGAATGGCAGTGTCGGTTCTCGTCGTCGAATATGGCTACTTCGATAACTCGTACGACGTCCTTGACCACAACAACATCTTTCGTGATACCACCGCCTGGGAGTATAACATTACTTCGGTTGCGCAGACTGGATTAGGGGAAGCCAACAGATTCCAGAAGATCAGGAGTGCTGCTGTTGTTGGAGGGTAAGATCTTGCCCCATCAATCATCCTTTCCGTCAAACGTCGAGACTGACAGGCCACAGTGGTTCCGCCATCAACGGCATGTTTTTCAACCGTGGCTCGGCCGAAGATTACGACGATTGGGAGAAGCTTGGAAACCCGGGTTGGGGATTCAATGGCCTGCTTCCCTACTTCAGGAAGAGCCAGACGCTTCAGACCCCTAACCCCAACCTTGCCAGGGACTTTAACGTCACATGGGACTCGACCGCCTTTGGCAATGGCCCGATCCAGGCCAGCATTTACCCGGTTCAGTACCCTGAGGTAGGAAAGTGGTACCAGGGATTTGTCGAGGCCGGTCTCGAACCTCAGCAGAGCGGTGATAATGGCCACGCTCATGGCCTGTTCTGGAGTACAGTGAGTGTTATCAACTTGTCTTTGGATGGGAAAAAGCGATCTAACAAGAGACAGAGAGCCGTCGACGACCGCACCCGCACCCGCTCCTACGCGCGCAACCAGTATTATGACCCCATTAAGGACCGCAAGAACCTCGACCTGCTTACCGGCTGGCGCGTCAACACCGTCAAATTCGACAAGAACAAGCAAGTGACCGGCATCGTCATGCAGCCCCGCGACAGCATTAACGACCCCAAGGCGAAAACCACAACCATCAAAGCCAAGAAGGAAGTCGTCCTCTCCTCCGGCGCTTACCATACCCCTCAAATCCTCCAGCGCTCTGGCATCGGCCCCGCCTCCCACCTCAAGAAGGCCAACATTCCCGTCCTCGTCGACCTCCCCGGCGTCGGCTCCAACCTGCAAGATCACGCAGTCGTCTCCATGTACTACCAGTATACTAACGCCAAGCCCCTTCCCCCTCCTCCTGCTGAGGGTCCCTACCCCGTCATGGCCAACAGCGTCGCCTTGCTGCCCGTCAAGGACATGGCCCCGTCCTCTTACCTCTCCATCGCCCGTGACTACCTGGCTCAACAGATCGAGAAGGTCCTACCCGAGAGTTACACCAAGGAGCAGAAGGCCGGCTATCTCAAGCAGCGCGAGCTACTCGCCGCCGACATGAAGAAGAAGACGGCTGCTTTTGTCGAGATCCCCTTCACCGGCAACGACCCGCTGTACATCATGGTTCAGATGAAGCCGGTCTCTCGCGGCACCGTCATGCTCAACACCACCGACATCTACGCCGAGCCGGTCGTCGACTTCCGCACCTTCTTCAACCCCGTCGATGTGGCAATCGCCCGCGAGTCCCTCAAGTTCGTGCGTGACATCTTGCACAAGACGCCGAGCTTCCAGAGCTTGGGACCCCTCGAGCTGGACCCCGGTCTTGGAGTGGCTGGCGACGAAGCTTTGGACAACAGGGTCAGGAGCAATGCGGGCAGCACCACGGCTCATCAGTCGGGCACGGCGGCCATGATGCCGCGCGAGCTGGGAGGCGTGGTGGATAGTCAGCTGAGGGTCTATGGCGTCAGGGGACTGAGGGTCGTCGATACCAGTATCATGCCGCTGGTTCCAGCGGCGCATACGTGCAGCAGCACGTATGCTGTGGCGGAGAAGGGGGCGGATCTCATCAAGGGAAGGAAGATGTAAACGAGAATGGAAGGATTAAGGAAACAACGGAAGAGAGTGCAGGAGTGTCAAGGCTCGGTAAAGGAAGTAACAAGCGGAGAGAGAACGCGGGGGGCTGTACCTGTACCTGCCGCTGCCCGTATATATGGGGAGATGAGATAACGAATACAATGATGGCGACCACTGCATTGAATACCCCGCGTTTGACCTTTCTGTTTCGCGTTAGAGTCTCTGCCCTTTGCCATCGCGTCTCCCGTCTGCATCACCTTTGCGCCTTGTGTTTGGAAACCTTCTTGATATTCAACGTGATTCTTGCTAGTGATCGTATCATTTTTGCTCTAGGCACACGAGGCTTCCTACTGCTTTCCTTTTGATCATAGAGGTACCCAAGGGGGCGAATCTCTGCTCGTTTCCAC